GAAAGAGATGATGAAGAAGCTCAACATCATCAGCTAAAACAAGGCTATGGGCAGACTGTGGAACAGATTACTCATGTGCAAGTTACAGCTGAAGCTGAAAAAAAAAAAAAAAAGCCCACAAGCCAAAATATGACTTTGAATGTATCCCACCTGAATTTAGAGACCATCTCAAGATGGTCTCTAAATTTGGGCATTAGACATTTGCTAATTATTTTTTATAGTCCTTCTAGCCAAATTGCTTCATTTTGTGATATATTGTAAATCCTACACCCTATGCCTACGATTATGGACCCATTTTGAAATGAGTTGGTAAGGAAAAAATATTAAATCAGGGCAGTCCTGGTTTGGCGCTATAAGATAAGGACAGTTTAAACCACAAGGTCAGCAGTTCATACCTACCAACTGCTACCTGGACACCATATGCAGGGTCACTATTAGTTGGAATCAACTTGACAGGATTTCACAACAACAACAAAGAGTAAAGATTACAGTGGAACAAAGATTAAGGATGTCCTCACCTTACTATAGGGTATGAATCAAGTTGCCACACCTAGATTCCCTTGGTGGCATGGTCCAACTCCAATTGATAAGACTGCTTTGGACAAGTTCACTCTCTTGGCCTGGATCTTGCATCTGACATCCAGTTCATGTAACGTTCAGCCCATTATCTGGCCTGATTCCCTAGTTCCTGCACTCTCGTACCTCAACAACCCATTGTCTGACCTGCCAATTTGGGTTCCTCAGCTCCTGAGACTATGTGGGTAAGAATATTCCCGCAGAGACTTGGGACTTTGCAGCCTCCACACTGCATGATCCATTTCCTTTGACAATTGTGAGTTTTGTGAGACTTGCATTGTATTATAGAATCCTGAGACTTGAGGGAAGGGAGGAATGGAAATTGATATCAAGGACTATGGAGTGTTATAGCGTGTTGGAAAAGTAAAACAGCTGGAATTTCTTAAACCTCCAACTTATAGGGAAAAGCCTTATGCTAATTAGCGTAGTGGTTACGAATCAGGCTGTAAACCTTAAGGTCAGCGGTTCGAAACTACCAGCCGCTCCACGGGAGAAAGATGAGGCTTTCTATTCCAGTAAGGATTTACACCCTCGGAAACCCTGTAGAGGGTCGCTATGGGTCGGAACCGACTCGACGGCATTTAACAACAACAACAATCTATCTAAAAGAAATTTTTCATGTAACACTAATGGCCAAATACCAGAAGAGTCATGGGATGACAGCATGAATGCCATATGGGAAGAAAGAAAAATGTTATTCAAAACAAAGGGGGTGGGGATGGGGGGGAAGGAAAAGACCAAAATGGATGTCAGAAGACACTCTGAGAGTTGCTCTAGAGCACAGAGAAGCAAATGCTAATGGAGGAAAGGAGGAAGTAAAAAAGCTGAATGGAAATTTTCAAAGGTCATTTTAAGAGAAAGTTAAAAAAAAAAAAAGTAGTATAATAAAATAATATTAGTATTATTGTTTTATTTTAAATAAAGTAAAATAAATGTGCAGAAACCTAGAGTTAGAAAAGCAAAAAAGAACACACTCAGCATTTATCAAGCTGAAAGAACTGAAGAGAAAATTAAAGCCTTGGCTTGCAATATTGAAGGACAGGCAGAATATTGAATGATGCAGAAAGCATCAAAAGAAGATGGAAGGAATACACAGTCACTACCAAAAAAAAAAAAAGGTGGATATTCAACCATTTTAAGAGGTAGCATATGATCAAGAATGAATAGTATTAAAGGAAGAAGTTCAATCTATACTGAAGGCACTGACAAAAAATAAGGTTCCAGAAATTGACAAAATACAAATTGAAATTTTTCAACAAACGGATGCAGCACTGGAGGCATTCAGTCATTAATGCCAAGAAATTTGGAAGACGGCGACCTGGCCAATCGACTGGAAGAGATCCATATTTGTACCCATTCCAAAGAAAGATGACTCAATGGAATGTAGAAATCATCGAACAATATCATTAACATCACATACAAGTAAAACTGTCTTGATAATTCAAAAACTATTGCAGCAGTGCATTAACAGGGAACTGCTGGAAATTTAAGTCAGATTCAGAAGAGGACTTGGAACTCAGGAAACCATTGCTGTCATCAGATGAATGTTGGTTGAAAGCAGAGAATATGAGAAATATGTTTACTTGTGCTTTACTGACTACGCAAAAAGTTTTCAACTGTGTGGATCATGACAAGGTATAGATAACATTGCGAAGCATGGGTATCCATTAACAATGGATAGAGGTGATGGTTGTGTAACATGGGGAGTGTAGTTGGTATGGCTGGATTGTACATGTAAAATGGTTGAAATGGCATGTTTTGTGTGTGTGTGTGTGTATATATATATACATGTTTGTTGTTGTTGTGCTGTGGAGTTGGTTCCAACTCATAGCGAACGTGTACAGGGTTTCTGAGGCTGTAAATCTTTA